AGCATTTAATGGACATCCTCACGAAGTAAGATAATTATACTTAATAACCTATGTGCTTTCTGAGCATCCCTATTATTACTGCTCATTCTTAGAGTTAGTGATTCGAAACAAACCCCTAACCCTAAGTATTAAGCTTTGGCACATAATCATCCCGCACTATTTTTGCTAAGGACATGAATAATACCTCAGATTGTCCAATAATAATACATTGTCCAATCAGCAATAAGATGTTCTTTTACTTGTATTTATTTTTGCTTGCCAGATAACAAAATCATTGAAGGGGACACCAAAGCCATATCTATGAACCACAACATCAAAGACTTAGAGGTTGGTTCTTTTATTTTTAGCCACTTTTAGTCTTGCAACCATCCAAAACACCTTAGCAGCTATCTTGCAATGCCCTAGCAACCACTTCGTTTACCATAGCAACCACATAGGAGCATGCTAAAAAGCACTCTGAATACCTTAAAACCATAGCATTGAATTTTGCATGAGCAAGTTCACTCATATTTTATGCATAATGTAAAGATTTAACACGTGGTAACACTTTACAATAAGGTCCTTTTAGTGAACAATAGTTAATGTATTAACTAACATTAACAACGAGCAATATATTTGTTTATTTATTTATTTATTTATTTAAAAATTAACATTAAAAATACATTTATTTCATGTTAGCTGAGGTCCAACAAATAATATTTACAGATACAACTTTTGATTTTAATAATGTATTTGTAAATGCTGAAATTAACATTAAGTGAAAGTGAAAGTGACGTGTGAAGTGTGGAAAAAATGTAATGTGTGTGCGTGTGTGCGTGTGTGTCTCAAATTGTCAAATATCACATATTTGAAACTTTTTAGTAATTTTTATTCAATTTGTATATCTTCTGTATTATTATTGAAAATCCTGAAAATGGTTCACCTCTAACAGACAGAAGTGAGTAATGGCTCTTTATGAAATCATTTTGAAGAGTTTCCTTCATCTGACCTTCACTTTTTTCAGCGCTGAACCTATTTTCCTGTTTTATCTATTATCGTATTGGTCAGCATTGACCCTCTGTTCCTGTGGTTTATTAAAGGACCACAACCTTTTATTTGAAGTAAAGTTTTTTTTTCTTCTGTTAACTTCAGATCTCATGGATCATAAAGTCTTTGCTCTGTTCTCTCAGTGTACTGTATCATCAAGGGCAAATCCTGTAATGTTCTCCTGGAGTCTCCCTTCAATTTCACACTTAATTTCCTGTTGAGCCGACAACCATAAATACCACTGTCTGTGACACCCTGGAAAATGAAATTCCATGTTAACAAAAGAAATGTCTTCTTGATGTAGTGCCATAATAAGGAACTGTCTTTAAGTTAATATTAACTTGCAACTGAGTTCAAAAGCCAGACCAAGATAGAGTACCAAGCCCATTCATATTTCATCATACAGTCAATATATATATATATATATATATATATATTTTTTTTTTTTTGCATTATGACATTATTTTTTAATCATGATTAGGCACATTTTCCACCCAAATTCTTATTACTGTAATGCGAAAAACATTGTAATGCAATAATAATTAAACATAATTATATATCATAATAGTATTTGTTGTACTGTCTTTAATTTATGCTGATAAAAATTGTTACAGTATTTTTTTACTTTTTAAATATTAATCTAATAATAATTAGAAACAAATCTAATAATAATCTAATGAATCATGACCGTTGAAAATAATGGGGCTTACAAAAAACCTCAAGTACAGTAATGAGAATTTGGATGGAAAATGTCATGATATTTCTTAATGATCCTAAAATAGAATTAAGTTTCATAAGTAAAATATAAATACTTTAATTATGGGGTGAAACATTAAGACTCACTTGCAAATGTTGGAGGGAGATTAACCACCACTGTATGCTGCTACGCTTATGAACATAATGATAATAAAGTGGCATGAAATTAGATAACAGATCAGATTGCTTTTTTGGCTGAATGTGATAAGCACACAACTTTTTATATATGGCCAGAGGGGGTTTTAAACTCTCAGAGCATTTAAACTTAAAGTCCAATCTCCAGCGGTTTAATAGCCTGTCAGAGAGAGTTACTGCAGTGCTAGAATGACACTATTCTGGGATGCAAATGGTGGACCGCAAAAGTGAGAGAGAGAAAGGGGGGAAGACCCCAGGCTTTGTGGAGGACACGTATGCTTGTGTGCACAAACACACACGTAGCATGCCTCATTTGGCCCCCCGGTGAGAGTGCTGGGGCTCAGCTGTTTAGTTCAATCAGTGAAGGAGGCTCTTTTTATTACAGATACACATAACTACTGGGAATACACCTGCTGAGGCCTCTGTACACTCAACATCCACGTGTCAATTTTTTTGCTTCCTTATTTTTTACATGATTTTAGACAGTGATCGGCATTAAGAATATAAAGGTTTGTATGTTTTCTTAAAAAATAAATTGTGAGGTTCTTCTCCATGCAAAACTCAATACCACCATGCTAGAATGTTTTGTTTGGTCACTAGGTTGTTACTAAGTGGTTGCTAGGGTGTTGCTATGGTATGTGGTTGTTAGGATGCACTGGGTGGTCACTAGGGTGTTACTAGGTAGTTGCTAGAGTGTTTTGGGTGGTCGTTATGGTGTTGCTACGTGGTTGCTTTGGTATGTGGTTGCCAGGGTATTCTGGGTGGTTGTTAGGGTGTTCTGGTTGGTTGCTAGGTGGTCGCTTGGATGTTGCTATGGTATATTGGTGCTAGGGTGTGCTGGGTGTTTGTTAGGTTGTTGCTAAATTATGTTTTCCCAAGGGGTGTTCTGGTTGTTACTAGAGTCTTACTAGGTGGTTGCTAGGGTGTTTTGGGTGGTCGTTATGGTGTTGCTAGGTGGTTGCTTAGGGTGTTGCTTTGGTATGTGATTCTGTGTTTGTTGCTAGGGTGTTCTGAATGGTCACTTGGGTGTTCTAGGTGGTCGCTAGGTTGTTGCTAAGGTATGTGTTTGCAAGGGTGTTCTGGGAGGCCACTGAGGTGTGTGGTTGCTAGGGTATTCTGGGTCATTGTAAGGGTGTTGCCATGGTATGTAGTTGCTAGGGTGTTCTGGGTGGTTGCTATGGTTTTGCTATGGTATTTGGTTGCTAGGGTGTATTGTTGGTGACTAGGGTCTTACTAGGTGGTTGCTTGGGTGTTTCTATGTGACTACTTGGGTGTTCTAGATGGATGTTGGTATTTTGCTATAGTATATGGTTGCTAAAGTGTTCTGGGTCGTCCCAAGTTTGTGTCTAGGAGGTTGCTAGGGTATTCTAGGTGGTTGCTAGGGTGTTGATATGGTATGTGGTTACTAGGGTGTTCTGGGTGGTTGATAGGGTGTTGCTTGTTTTTTTTTTTATAAATCCTGTTTTATAAATACGTTTTTCTTTTACCTTCACAAGTACAACCAGGAAGTTCAGATTAGTTGAAGACATCAGTTTCTACATTAAGCCATTAAATGATTCTGCCTACAGTTTATATGTTTTTTCAGATTAATTCATTACATTATGCAGCATAAAGTGGTAATGTTGTGTTCATCAAAATATGTTCTGTTTCATGTGAAACACAGAGAAATCGTGCAGCTCTGAGGCTCTGTGGGTTGTTCTGGCTAAATCCCAACCATATGGGACCGCTGTAGATCTGAAACTAGCAGACTCACTCAGTGATTCTTCAGGGGCCAAATGCTTCTCTGTTGTACTCTGGTGCTTGATAAAACAAATATTTAGTCTTCCACATTTGTCTTTTTGAGCTTAGATGTTCAGATATTGTTTATGAGGGATGTGGAAAGATTGTTTTGTTTTGTTTTGCAGTTTGTAATAGAAGAGGGCTCAGCTGTGTGACTTTAAATTTCAGCTCTGTTGAAAAGGTCTGTTGCACAACCAGGTGTCAGGTTTGTGATTAATAAAAAAATATTATTATTAACATTTTAATAATTTTATTAATTTATAATAATATTATTATTATTAATATTTCAGTTTAATCGTAACTCATTTTTTATCTACATCATCTTTGAGGCAGAGCCTGTGTGAAATTAAATCTATTCTTCTAGAGGACAGAAGACAAGGAGTGCAGTGCTAAAAAGAGGCGGAGCTACATAAGGTTTATGAAAATGATCAATTAATGTTGGATAACCAGAAAGTGTCCAAGACTTTAAGAATAAGAATGATGTACTAAAAACGGAAAAGTTATCCTTTGCGTTTTTGAAAAGTTTTGTGTACAGATGACAACATTGTCAAAACGATCCCCGTTCACAAGGATCCGCGAAAATGACTAAAACCACTGTATTATGAATGCCAGGTCAGTAGTTAGTGATGTCACTTTATAAAAAAAAACTATGCACCTGTGCACTTAACTATACATAATGTGCATGTGCATGACATCACCATTTTTACAAATTCACCTTTTTTTTGTAGGTATTGGTATATAATGTGCATTTTCCCCCCAAAATGCTGCTCTCGTGTAAATGAACAGACAAAACGCATAAAGTTTTCCATTTGTAGTTGAAAACTGAGTTGTCTGAATGTCCTGTTTTTCTTTTTGAACAGTTAATCTATTATTTTATCATTTAAAACCTAACAAACATGTTTTGCTTGAAAAGTGTGCATGGTTTGATATTTTGTTGTAATGCAGTGACATTCACAGATTTTTAAGTGTAGCTGAAGAGTCTCAAATACCTTTCTAGAGAGTATATCGAATGAAGTACTTCAGACTGTTGATTCCATCAAATGAATATATAGGCAATATAAGACAAAAATATCTGTCTGACTATTTATATGGTCAAAGAGCAAGAAAGATTTAGTTTCTCACATCTGGCACAACAACAGCTAAACTGTAAATACATGATGGACACCAGAAAACAGCTTGATTAATATCTGCCAGATAGTAGAGGGCAGTTGTGTCATAGATGATCAGCTCATGTCCAACAGTTCAACAGTTCAGTTCTCTTCGTATTAAATGTGAACCTGCAGAATTTACCCAAAAAAGGCCACTGTTGTGGTTCACTGTGAGTCAGCCAGACGTAAATGAGAAGTGGCAGTAGAGATATGCGGGCATCTTCTGTGTTGTTTGAAGGTGAGTTCAGTTCTGTTTTGTTAGCAGAAAGGTTAACGGCCTCCGTTTCTATTGGTCATCCGTCCTAGGCACTGTGTGGATCACCCCCGGAGCCTGCAGAAACAGACACACGCAAACGTATTACGCTGCTGGAATGTGACAGATGAAATGAAGTAGTTTACTCACACGCTCAAGTGAGAGGGAAACACATCTTTCAAGCTGAAAGACTTTTATATATTATACTGCCTACTTGAGCACAGCTCTGCATTACAATGTGTCTCTCTGTCATGATTATCTCACTCTCCCTTTCAGTCGACCTCTGTCTCCGGCAAATTAATGAATTGAAGCAGACGCAGCACCTCTGGTGACAATGATAGAACAGTTATATCATTCAAGAGCGAGTGCGAGATGACTAGAGGAGATTATTAACATATTGTGAGCGCAAACACATGCACTTAAAATGAATACGGTGGTAAACTGCTCCAGTTACCCAACAGCTTTAAGAAACAAGGCAGAATTACACGCATAAATGAAAAGAATCTGCTCTATTTTTTTTTTTTTATAATTTATTTTTATTTCGAACTATTAAAAATACAAAAGGAATTATTATTTCCTTATTATTAATTACTATTTGCTGGAGCCTTCAAGGTTAAGTAAACAAAAACTTTAGTGTATGCATAATCATTTGTAAAAGGGCATCAATTTATATTTGTTTTCATATTATAAGAGGAAAAATGTCTTGAAATCATACACCTGAAGGCCGTAATTTGTGCCAGAACAGGTCGGATATGAATACAGCACCTCCGGAATTTGATCTGATCTGATCTGAGTTTATTCCTATGAAAGGCATTTAAGGACAAAACTTGGATTCAAACTTGAAATGGCCATATCTCTGACATGTTCGGTTTGTATAGCAGGAGGAAAGCCCGTTTTTTATTTTAGCACCATCTGAGATGTGTTTCCCTAAAATGACGATTATATTAATCTAATGTGAAATCCATTAGAGGTTGGATTTTTTTTTTTGCTCTGCATGGCAAAGGGCATTTCATCTGCAAATCAATGCCATGCATAAACACACTTCATTCACCACAATACAATTTCATGCCAAATAATCAATTTATCTTCCACAACAGAAATGCCAATATAACAGCATCCATCTGGACAGAAATAAAACAACAGTTATATGCCCTATATAATGAGTGTATTTAAAAAAAAAAAACAATTAATACTTTTATTCAATAAGGATGTTTAAAACTGATCAAAAGTGCCAGTCAAGACATTTATAATGTTAGAAATGATTTCTATTTTAAATAAATGCTGTTCTTTTGAACTTTATATGTCAGCAAAGAATCCTGAAAATAAACTTATCAGAGATTCCACAAAAAAATATTAAGCAGCACAACTGTTTTCAAAATTGATAATTATAAGAAATGTTTCTTGAGCAGCAAATCAGCATATTAGAATGATTTCTGAAGGATCATGTGACACTGAGGACTGGAGTAATGATGCTGAAAATTCAGCTTTGAATCACAGGAATAAATTAAATTTTCAAATATATTAAAATAAAAACAGTTATTAGATAAAAAACTGTATGTTTTATCAACTAAGAGACTTTTTTCAAAAACATTTAAAAAATCTGACCTCAAATGTTTGAACGGTAGTTTAAGTGCTATAGGTGCATTAAATTCTGCAGAGTTAATGATTTTCTTTTGATTTAACAGCATATGTGAACAATTACGGTTAAACAATTATGCTAAGAATCAACTGCATTTTAGTGCCCAACAATAATATTGGGCAGCAAAATAATATCTAGAAAAAAATGCCTTTTATTTTTACCTTCCAAATCCTGTTGTCTTCATTGTTTTGGAGTATGTCACAAGTAAGTTTCAGTTTGTCATATTAGCCTTATATCCGTCATCAGCAAACTCCAGAATTTCAGTGAACAGACGTCCATGTTGCTTCCTTGAAAGAAACACAAAAAGGCAGTTAACTTTGCTGCAGAAGACACAGTTATAAACACCCTTTAGGAAAGAGTTAATGGACTTGTGAGTCTTAGGATGAAGATGTCAACCTGAATTTTGAGTGTTGTGGCTTGCACGACACCTCAGACAGCAAGCTCTCTGTGTTAACACCTCGGATATAACAGCTAGCAAATGTGAGAGTCAGTGCAGGCACCAAACGAACACACATACACTATATTAAGAACTCATCCTTCACAGCTGATCATAGACGAGCCCTTGGTAGTCAGAGGAATGCTTGAATGTTTCAGAGAGATGGAAAAACAGTTTAAAGATCTGAATATGGAGGGAACAATAAATTGGGCAGAAATTAGTTTGAAGATTTTTTTTCTACATGCATTAGACAAGGCGTTTTCAAGCTGGGGTCCAGGGACTGACAGGGGGCCACAAGGGAATGCTAGGGGGTCTGTAAATAAATATGATTTTTGATTAAAATACATAAATAAAGTAAATTAATTAATATGATTATAAAGTAAATTAATTAATTAATTAATTTAACAGTTGCCACAATAATGAATACAAAAAATGTAATAATGTAGCCTAATAAAAGCTAAAAAAAAGTTAATTTAATAAGTTAATTATTTTCCAAATAATACTTTATACATATTAATACTATTATTTTTCACAGTATAACATTTTGTTTTTATACAACAAATTATATAAATGCCTTTAAAATTTCAGCATGGGGGTCCCTTGCTTGAGGATGATGATAGACTATTTGGGGGTCCAGTGCATCTAAAAGTTTGAAAACTAGACAAGCAAAAGCTTTTAGTGAGGTGAAAAAATGTTGCATCCAAATAGCATTGTAGACATGATAAATTAATTTATGTTCTTTCCAGGGTCTAGATGGCAAAGTTAAACCCGGCTTTCAAAGATATGCACAGGAATTCTTTGTCATCAGAAGAGCGATTTTTCTTTTGCAAGGATGCGTCACTTGATGGCAGCACTGAGCAACAAGTCAGCAAGTACCTACTTGTTTCATACCAGTCAAATAAGCATTACATATCTGGTGTTATGAAAGTGTACAGGTAATTAGACTAAATTGAGCAATAAATTACATGCAGATTTGTTTTGATTAAAAAAATGTTTGTACTTGTTTTCTTTATGAATGATTTTAATAACAGCCATGCGTGTCTTCTGTTGCTGCTCTATTTCTAGGTAGTGTAAAACGACGACTAGGGCGGAAAGCGCAGACGTCTGTGACTGAACCGCACAGATCTACAGGTTGAAAATGATTCTCTCTGACTGAGCGCTTGGAACGTGTCTGGCGGACTGCCGCGCAGTCTCTAACACCCGTCTACGGGAGCGTCAGCAGCGTGAAACCTCCGGTAATCAGCTCACGCTGCACCTCGCGTCCTGTTTTCTCCACAGGAGAGCCAAATAGGGAACGTCTGAGTGAGCCCATAACCTATACACAATCTCGCTTTGACAGCTACAAAGAAAAAACACCCGAGCCAATAACAATCCACCACAACCTACTTCGCGCACTGAAGCCGTGCATGCATTTTGCAAGCACAGCATGCTTTTTATCTGTCTGTCGGTCCGTCTTGTCAATATCAGTCATTTTCCACATGCAACACATTCAGTCATTTGTAAAAGATTAAAAAAAGGGAAATATGTGGGAGTGCATCAGCTCTAGATGGTTTGCAAACCCAGGGTTATGCAAATTATTTGCAGAAGCTGTTTTACATAATTTTTTTAATACTAGTATAAGGCTGCAAAATGTTAGAGATACATTCAATAAAGGATTGAGATACTTTTCTGATCGCACATCTCGCGCTCTATTTTGCCAGTCAGGCTTTGTGAACCATCTGGAGCGTTGCTCTGACAACGGGGGAGGATGTCATGGTAACATTAATGGGGGTTACCCAGGAAACTGTAGTCGCCATGGAGACTGCATCAAAAGGCGGACTCAAGACGTGATCTCCCAGTCTTTCAGTTTCTGATCTCGTAGTCTCCCATGTCGTGGAGGCATCGAGTCGTACTTTTCCCCCTCGATCCAAGCCACCTTTTCAGATGCTTCCTCTTTTTTTCTCCCAGAATTCAGAACCACTGTGACGTCTCACTTTGAGGGAAATCGTGAACACTCTATTTTTAGGCTATAGACGTGATTTGAGTTTTACATAATCTGGAGATGACTAAATTTTCGCACACCGAATAACTTGATCACAAAATAAAGATATATTTTGTTTTCATTTAGTATTAACCAATTTCATTTGGTACAGGCAAATCAGATTCAATAGACGCACAGCTTTGATTACATTATTAACAAAACATATTGTTTTAGTTTTTTGTTTGTTTGTTTTTCCACATTCATTGCATTTAAATGAAGTCTGCACTGAGATGTATTGGTGATTCTTCAACCGGGGCACTTTTTGAAAACGGTTTCATCTATTTTAATCTATATTAATTATCATGGAATACTGATCACATGACCTTAATAACCTTGAGGTAAAAAAAAAGTTGTGAGCCAATTAACATAATTAATAAAAATACAAGAAACTAATTGTTTCAGAATCAAAATTGACAAACCAAATAATGTTTGGTTATGACACCTAATAGAAATCTACTCTAAGGTCATGATTTCTTCTTAATTCCTAAAATTAATGATATTCATGTGTAACTTCATAACATTCATAACATTTAAAAATAAAAAAAAAAACAACAACTGAAAATTAGTTAATTTATTAAAAACTGACAGCAGTATTGGGTACATGTAATTCTTTGTTATAAAATATTTGTAAAAAAAAATAATAATAATTTTGTTTGTTTTTAAGTTCCTTGTAAAATTTCCCTGATTTGAATGCATTTTATAAATTACTTCAGAAGGGAAGTTAAAAAGTCTGGGTAGGAGATAATTCTGGCAAATTTCACATTTCAGTACTCTTAAAATTAGGAAAAAGCAATTAAAGAGGCACTTTAATCTATTCTTTAAAACGTTTTTTTTCTTTTAAAATCACCTTAGGTGACATGAAAGTTCCCCTAATTGAAGATTCACCCATATATTCAACAAAATACATATGATCAACACAGCATTATCTTCAGTTTGTTCACATTAACAGCGACACATATTTGGTTGTTTCACTTTGCCACAAAACGTAAGATATTGCGAATACTAACGTATTATGATGATTATATGTTAACACTGATAACAAACGCAGACTTACGAGCACAATATTTGCAGTGTGGGTGCTTCTTCTTTTTAGTCCCTGACCTGAACCTTATCCTTTGTGCTGTGGACAAATGCAACACGTGAATCGGAGTTTGGCACCTTTCTACCAAAAAAGCGCCCTGCGATACTTTTAGTTTAATATGCTGGCTTGTCCATAACATGTAGGGTACAACGGATCTAAAGGTCCCCCGGGGTAAAAGGCCCTTGTGATTTACATACTCCCAAAACACTAAATAGCAACAAAAACTACCACAGTACTTTCCTAAACACCTGTTTATCTCTATGCACTGCGAAAATGTCCTGATTCATGAGGTGTGCACTGACAAAAGACTGATTTTGAAGTTTTTTCTTCAGATTTCTGACTCTTAAGGCGTGCAATAACAAAATACTTATTTTGTTTTTCAGATTTATGTAGCTAATAGAAATCATTACAGTTATTGTATATATCTCAAGACTTACAGATTTATGATTTTTGCTGAAGGAGATTTAGATTTCAGTACTTGTTGAATAGCCAAAAATGTATTGATGTTGGTAAAGGATGACGATGCAGACTACCTGTAGAGCAACTAACTGTATTCTGTAATTATCATTTTGTTAAGTATGTGCAAAGTGGACTGATGTTAACTGCTCTAGTTACAATGTGAAATCTGACTTCAGTTACATTGTAACTCCATGAAATGCCATAAGTGAGTAAATAAACTGAAAATAGCTACACCATTTGCTGAAGTATTTAAATGTTACTCTAAAATATCTTGCTACATCAAAAGTATTTGCATATGGTGACAGATTTTCACTCTAGCTGCCTTTGTATTGATTTATTTGTTTAATCAAAACAAACTACTATTTACTTTATGCAAATTATATATCTCCATCTATATTCAGTAAAAATATTTTTTTTCAACTGCCATTTACTTTGGGAGCCAAACAAAAAAAAAATCACATTTTCCCTCAAATGGAGGCTTTTAGCCCCGTTGTACTCTAGTAATGCAGCACCTCGCATTCACATTGGTGCCATCATGGTGATTATTGTAAGACTGTCTGGCACTATACATGATTTACACGTCTGTGAAAATCTTTTTAATATTCACGCAGTTTTGATTGTTCTGGTTGGAGTAGTTTGGCTGTTTGAAAGCACTATTTATTCCTTCCTCTATGACCATATATTCCGATTTACTGAGGGAGGATGTGCTCTGTGTCCGTTTCAGATCTTCTCTGGAGTTGAGATGCTGACAGCTGCCAACGTGGAGGTATTGTGCGTGCTCTTCCCCATCAGTCTCCCGGTGATAAAAGTAATTGAAATTGGACACAATGACAGGTACGGGCAGCGCAATGGTCAATACGCCAGCGATGGCGCACAAAGAACCCACAATTTTGCCTCCAATGGTTACTGGATGCATGTCCCCATAGCCGACTGTAGTCATGGTAACCACAGCCCACCAAAAAGCATCAGGAATGCTGCTGAAACTGGAGGTAGGGTCGTCGGCCTCGGCGAAGTAGACGGCACTGGAAAACAAGATGACCCCAATGAAGAGGAAGAAGATGAGGAGTCCCAGCTCCCGCATGCTGGCTTTTAGGGTCTGGCCGAGAATCTGGAGGCCTTTGGAGTGGCGTGATAGCTTGAAGATGCGAAAGACCCTCACCAGACGGATCACGCGGAGGATGGCGAGCGACATGGCTTGCTGGCCGTTGCCTTGACTCTCGGCCAGCTCCGTCCCCAGAGTGATAAAGTAAGGAATAATAGCCACGATATCAATGATATTCATGATGTTTTTGGAAAAAGTAGCCTTGCTGGGGCACGCAAAGAATCGCACGAGCAGTTCAAAAGAGAACCAGATGATGCAAAGGGTTTCGATCACAAAGAAAGGGTCTGTGAAAGTGCTGGACGCAAAAGGGCCAGTGCCATTTACAATAGGAGGGACAGTAGTTGGGTCCTTGTCGTCCCTAAACTCAGGCAGAGTTTCCAAACAGAAAATAACAATGGAAATCAAAATGACCAAAACAGACACGATAGCAATGCCTCTGGCAGGACCAGAGCTCTCTGGGTACTCAAACAAAAGCCAAACCTGTCTCTGAAATTCGTGGTTTGGCAACGGTCGATCTTCTTCTTTGATAAAGCCCTCATCCTCGCGAAATTTCTCCATGGCTTCCTCGCCAAGTTGATAAAAGCGAATTTCCTCCGAGAAGATGTCAATGGGAACGTTCACGGGTCTCCGAATGCGCCCCCCGGATTGATAGTAGTACAGGATGGCATCGAAGCTCGGTCGGTTCCTGTCAAAGAAATACTCGTTTCTGAGCGGGTCAAAGTAGCGCATCCTTTTCTTCGGGTCCCCGAGCAACGTGTCCGGGAACTGGTTGAAAGTTTTCAGCTGGGTCTCGAAGCGCAGTCCCGAGATATTGATGACCACTCGCTCGCAGCACTCGTGGTCCGGCTCGTATCGATCCAGCGACAGGTGACTGGGAAGCGCCGCGGTTTCCTCCAGCATATTATCGCACGCGACAACTGTCATGATGTCCTTCTCCGTCTCCGCGTACCCGTGGTTGTCGGCGTTGGTCCCTCTGTGGCTGGCTGAGGGGGAATCAATGAGATTGTAGTGGTCATCCATACAGGTGAGGAGACGGAGCGGCAGAGGGCGACCCGCCTCCCCTACCTAACATCGGGTAAACTGAGGGTTTCTCTGTGGCGCGCTCTCTTTTGCTTTTTAACACACTGTCGCCGCCCCACGGAGCTTTATAAACACATGTCTACTCCCGCCCACGGCGAGCATATGCCCGACACATTTCCACCACTCGCCCAATCGGAGCCCAACTAGACAAGAGCATCCATTCTCAGCGCGCGCGCGCCGCTGTGTTTTGCCTTGCGCGCACGACGCAAATCATTCACAAAGTGTCAAAAACACTACTCACGATTAATCGATTGTAACAGTTCCAAAGACGCGCTCTCTCACAAAGTGTGGGAGCTTTACAAAGAGGTTCTATGAGGTTTTTATGAGGTTCCCTTTTGTCCAAACAAAATCGTCTTTTTAAATCTCTAGGGCAGTTAATTAACAGTCATGTATTAAAAAAAAAAAAAAATAAAAACACTTTTTTTGGTGAACATGTTTTTTTTTTTTTTTGGGGATTATATTGGTATGTAAATCTACTGAATGGAAAGCATACTGTTGCTATGGTTACCTGCTCAGGCAAACACGACTTTCCGCGTTTATTTAGTTCGCTACGGTAGTTTTATATTCTTATCAGACTTGCAAACCGACAAAACTGACATTATCGCTTGCATATGACAAATAGAATAATTAAAAAAATTCAAAACGTCTTTAAACTAAGCCATTTGTGTCTCATTCGAATCTCAGCAGAACCTTAATGACAGAAATTGTTTTAAACAAATCCCGTCTTTGTATAATTCGCATATTGCAATAAGGAACGCTAAAATGCCATACAGTGTATTGTTTACCAAAGGAATATTGTGTTAAAAGAACAAATGATGTCATAATATTTGTGTAAACTACTTAAGTGTCTTTGTTTTGTCCTTTTTGCAAAAGTAGCCTATCGTAAACAATTGCTTCCCGTTTTTGTTCAACAAACTGTTTATTGCTTAAGGCTTTGTCTGAGAAAAGCGTTGATTGGCTGAACGTTCCTATGAAGACAACGGAGCTCTCCATGGTACTGAAGCGGTGCGCGCGCTTGAGCGAGCGCGGGAGGGAGGAAAACATGAAGAGACTGACCTGTATCTGCTGAACAGAACCAGATCTTCACAATTAGCCTTGATGTACCTTGATGTTTTGTAAAGTTATATGAACGCACCGAGTCTGAGGTAATTCAAAGTCTTTTTTCCACGACCTATTAAACCACAAACAAAGAAACATAAAATATAAGTATGTATAAGTATATTCATACATAAGTATGAATAATACAGTGTAAATATAAACAAAATCTAAACTTTCTTCAAAGGCTCTTCATTTCTGCTTCTCCTGGTGTTCAATAGAAGAAACTTCACCACTGCATAAGCAATAAAGCCACATTTGTACAGTTATGAAAAATATTTTTGCAAGGACACAGATAAATCCTTCAAACACTACTAAAATGGCTTTTTCCCCCCCAGATTTGAGGAGAATGATGTTGTGAGCCTTGATGTGTCCCTTGCACTCAATCTTATCTTCAATAAATGAGCGGTTTGACACACAGGGAGGAGTGGGTGAGTAGTACAGATACTCTCTTCATACTCAGCCTCCACCATCGTCATCACAAAGCTGTTAAGATGGCAGCTCTTTCCTACACCAACAGCTTCCCAATCTCGCCCTCTCTCTTAATCTTATTCAAGCACGTAACGGTCCTCGACTCAAGAGGGAACATGTGTCAGTAATTATGTTTGTGTATGTGTATCATCATTCCTGAGCTCATGTTAAACAATCCCCCTTTCTGATAATGGAATGGGTTCTCCATTGTGATGTCTAGCTCATATCTGTCATGATTGCACAAGCGGGGGATTGGCTAGCCACAGATTAAACGGGTTATTTGCACAGCAGCAGCCATCAAGAGAGCACAGGGGTGATTCATCTTTGTAAAAGAAGAGCTCAGCGTAATTAAATATTCATGAGCATTTTTGGTCATGCCCTCTGTATGAGCCTGCAAATAGTAATGCATTATTAATCAGAATTTAAATTAAGTGAAACTATTCTTTCAATGGCTGGCTTTGGTGATGAATTCTTGCACTCTAAGTGCAGCCGAAAATACGATAGACCACAACTGTGAGGGAAATAAAATACAAATGAAGTACTTTGACACACTGTGTCTAGACAGTCCAGCAAATATAAGCTTGGTGACTGCAAGGCCTCTGTGCCACTAATTTACTACTCGCTGGTGAGCAAAAACAGAAATCGATGGGGGTTTGAGGTCACTGGTCAGGAAGCCACCGCCAATGAACGCATAAGCTGGAGATCATTACATGTTCACATTGGTCAAGGTCAGTACAGGATAGTAGAAATATTTCCTATCCAGACTGGCCTAGTACTAACAAAAGAACGGCAATTGATTTGTGTGAAATTAATATCTGTTGAATGTCTGTTTTTGGAAACTACTCTATTATAACTGTGATGCTCAGTGGCTGGTCAGTTATCGTCTCGGCTACTGTGTGTAATGGACATTTTAAAAAGAGGCTTATGTTAGGATGTATGACATATTGCCTCGGATTATTGTCTTTTATGTAATTATTTTTGGTCAAAGACTAGCATACTATGTTTGTATTGGTGAATCTTGCAAAAATGTGTAGGTCACATTTCACCCCCAAAAAATCAAAAGAAAAAAAAATTGAAATGAAGCCTATTTTAGGATCATTCTTTTTGTATAGTGACCATATTTTCATGACAATTAAGCAAATTTCCCCCCAAAATCTAATTATAATGTTTTGTGTGTGTGTAATTTCGATTATTATTGGTGGAGATTCTCATTTTAAAAATGTATGATTTCTTACAATTGAATGATTTCTTAAATTTAAGTGTCAATTACATGTTGATGGCAGAATAAATACTGCCATGATATTTAGATACTTTACAATTTATATATAATGAATATCACAGTATGAATGTTATTTTTGCAACTTTGGAGCCCATACAGTTAAGTGAGTGGAATTTACTGTCGTAAATATACCACTGTCGTACTTACAGCGGATAGCTGTGAAACTGCATTTGTTGCTGCCATAAAGCAGTTTACCCTTTTGGAGCATTGGAAAGAAACACAAGCCATTCGCCTTATTAGAAGTCAGCATATCATCAGAATGATTTTGAAACAGATATTTCAAGGTAAAAGCTTACATACAGTTGCTTTAAGAATGGAAGTTAGAGGTAATGAAATATAATCATGACTTAATGGAAACCAATGTCACAATGGAAACACAATGGAATCAAAAAAATCTTAATTATCTTAAAAATACACTTTATTTTCTTTAAGCAAATGAAAATATTTTTCCCTTTTTTCCATGATTTTGGGTGAAAAATGATTTTGGTAGAGTTTACTGTAGCATCAATACCTCAATTTGAAAACTCATTAAACTCATCTTCTATTTTATATAGAATAAAGCCACTTGTTTTGGCAGTATTATGAAATGCATGGCATCTTGAGCATCTTCTTACCCCTGCTAATTAGGCAGTGCTACCAATCAGGACAGCTGCTGCCATGGTAATTAGAAAAACAAACACACAGCACTGACTTGGACACCTATTTCCATGGGAGTAATCGCTGACACCTCCTCAACCCTGCCAACCATTTCAGCCATGGGGAAATGTGACATATACACAAGTACAATACACTCCCACGTATGTACATATCAGGGATGAACATACACAGACAAGCACACAGTTGCTTTAAAAAGATTGTAACATCTCATATATAAATATTGCAATTAGAAGAGAATGAACAAGCAAAATTAGTGCATTGTCCTTTGTAATTATATGACATTCATTTGTATATGTTATTCTTGTTAAATGGGAAAAGCAAAACCAAAATTTTACACATCACCAGTCTAGCAGTGATTTGCATATTATAAATATTGCAATTAGAAGAGAATGAACAAGCAAAATTAGTGCATTGTCCTTTGTAATTATGACACTCATTTGTATATGTTATTCTTGTTAAATGGGAAAAGCAAAACCAAAATTTTACACATCACCAGTCTAGCAGTGATTTGCATAAGCACTTCAATCAATGGCCAGTTGTGGGGCTTGTTGTCATATATAAGTTGTCACGGTATGATCATGATAAAATTTAAGGTAATATGCAAAAAAACCAAAAAAACAATTGTTTCATCTACAGCAATTGAAATTGTGAACATTTGTTGAAAAGACATGTCACAACTTTCCGTCCTTATGTGTTTCTTAAAGATTAAATTTTTTTTTTTTTTTTAAACATCGTATGGGTCAAAATGATCGATTTTTCTTTTTCTATCATAGTAAACCATACATCAATGGAAAGCTTATTTATTCAGCTTTGTTTTTCAAAAAATTTACCCTTATGACTGGTTTTGTGGTCCAGGGTCACATATTAGAATGATTTCTGAAGGATCATGTGACCCTGAAGACTGGAGTAATGATGCTGAAAATTCAGCTTTGCTGAATAAATTACATTTTAAAATATATTAAAATAGAAAATAGTTATTTTAAGTTGTAATAATATTTCATATTATTTTCTGTTTTTACAGTATTTTTGAGCAAATAAATGCAGTCTTGTGAGCATAAGACACTTCTTTCAAAAACAGGAATATATATACGTGACCCCGGTTGGAGATGAAGGGTGAAGGTCGGGGGAAAGAGAAGCACTGGAGATTAGTTGCTGTAACTCACCTCTCTTTATTCCTCTCTCTTCACCTCTCCTCTTTAGGGCTCTGTCAGTGTAATGAATGGACTGAGATTGGTTAATCTCCCTCCTGGCTATTAGGTTATTTCCCAATATGCCCTTGGGAGGGGACCATGTGTGTATGCGACATGAATGCACCTCCCGTAACGTTATCCTGACAGCGGGGTTCTGTGTGAGACACACTCCACAGATTGTCTGTTTGCGCTCATCCATTCTTCCATCAGGGAGAGTTCTCTACTTGCTGCTGTTGCCACAGGACATCAACTTCAATTCAATTCATCAGCTGCAGATGGCTTCGAAGAACTCTTGACGTGGAGTTCACATCAGTCAACATACTGAACACGCGGGA